CCCCCAAAGCTCTGTTCTTTAGATTATAAACAGCTGAAAATAAACCATGTGTCACTTCCTTCCATTTCTTGCCTGTTTCCCCACTGAGTCTGATGTATATCTACCCTCCCTTGACCACAGGAGATCTGTGCTTTTCAGGAAAATGCCTCCATAGAGCCTTTGGGATTGTTGTTTGTTGTTGTTTGTCTATACAAATCTAGTGCTGCAGCCCTGAAGTCCCAGGACTGAGAAATGTAAAAACATCCTTTAATATCTGAGCAAATATTTCCAGATGTGAAGGGGTTAATAAAAAAAAATGGCACATAGAATGTATTCTTCAGAAATGGTGTATAAAAATAAAGGCTAAGAAACTTTTCCAGATTAAAGGAGACTAAAGACACACAGCAACTAAATGCAATGCATGCTTATACACATGATTTTGTAATATAGATTTAAAATAAAAATAAAGCTAGATACTACTGGATAAACTGACACAAACAAATGAAATATGGATGAGATATCAGCTTAAAATTTTATGCCAGTTAAATTTACCAAAGGGGATAATTCTTAATATGTGATGAAATATTAAGAAAAACTAACTATATGACCTATATTCTCAAATATTCTGGAATAAATGTGTATTTTTTGTGGATATATGTCATACATAAAATGAGAGATTGCTAATGGATCAAAATATTAACAATAGGTAAATCTGTATAGCAGGTACACTATTTTCCCATTTGTGCAACTTTTCTGCAAGTTTAATTACTTTCATAGCGATATTTTTCAAATGGACTACCAACTATGTTGTTCTCATATTTAACCTTTGAGATTTTAAATTCCCTCAACTGTTCCCACTGCACCCGACCCTCAGTAATGCTCAGTATCCGCTTTAAAATACTTGTCTCAGGTTCTACCATGGACCTAGGATTCTTTCTCACATGTAAAGCAACTAATATTTCAGTAGAGTTTTACAAAATACTAGGGAAGAGAACAAAACATATATATTTTTTAATGATACACAACGTAAAACCAAAGAGCCAAAATTTTAAGAAACTATGTTTATAGCATATAACTCCTATTTTCTTTCCAATTTGGTACCACTGGTCACATGTCTTCTGGGATTTTGTGGTAATTGGTTTTCAGATGTTTTTTTCTGCTTACTAAGTTACTTACCTCTTCTTCACAGGATTCTCATTTTCAAAAAATGCATTGACTCCCTTTGTAACATCCTCTCCTTATCATACTCAAGCAATTTTTCTTTTTAAATACTTTACTTTTTAAGCAGTTTTTTTTTTTTTAAGATATATTCTGTTATATTATGGATCTGTAATGTCGCCCTAAGCCAGCAATAATCAGAGGTAGCACTTTTGGGAAGTGTTTAGGTCATAAGGGCTCTGGCCTCATCAGTCGATTAATCCATTGATGGGTTCATAATTGAATACACCATTGGGAGGTGTTGGAAATTGTAGAACGTGGGGCATAGTGGGAGGAAGGAAAGCACTGGAGGCATGCCCTGGCAGGGTATATCTTGTCCCTGACCCCTTCCCTCATCTCTCTACTTTCTGGCCACTATGAGGCAAGCAGCTCTGCTGTGCCACATGCTCTGCATCATGATGTTCTGCCTTACCAAAGGCCCATAGAAATGGGGCCAAGTGACCATGGACTGAAACATCTAAAACCATAGCCAAAGTAAGTCTTTTCTCCTTTATGCTTATTTTCTCAGGTTTTTTGTCATAGTAATGGAAAGCTAATCAACACATTCACATACATAAAATTCAAGTGTATAATCAATGATTGTAATGTATTTACAGAGTTGTGCATCTATAACAAGTGAATTTTAAAATATTTTTGTGATTTACAAAATAAACTCTGTACACTTTAGTTAGCATTCCTCTTACCCTTCATTCTCCCAGCCCTAAACAACTACTGCTCTATGTTCTATCTTTGTATATTTTCCCTTTTCTAGATATTTCATAAGACTGATATCATATATGGTGATTTGTAATCGATTTCTTTCATTTAACAAAGATTTGAAGGTTCATTAATTTTTTAGCCTACTTCATTATTTTATTCCTTTTATGGATAAGTTAGATTCTACTGTATGCACATACACCAATTGTCCATTAATTGGTTGGTTATGTTGGTTGTTGTCACATTTTGAATATTATGAATAATACTGCTATGAGCATTAGTGTACAAGTTTCTGTATGGATTTGTTTTCATTTGTCTTATGTATATACCTAAGAGTGGAATTGCTGGGTCATATGGCAATTCTGTTTTTAACATTTTGAGTAAATGGAAAACAGCCACACAATTTTATAGTCCTATAGGAGTGTATGAGTCTTCCAATATCTCCATATTCTCTTAAACACTTATTATCTGATTTTTTATTCTAGCCATCCTAGTGTGTGAAGTAATATCTTGGTGGTTTTAAATTATAGTTCCCCAAAGATTAATGAGTTCAACTATTTTTTTCATAAAATCCTTTATTTCTAATGGCATTTAGGGAAGGATGGTCCCCCAACTGTTTGACTGTATAATACAGTTAACTAGAAACATAATTCATTTTAATCATGTGAAAGGAAAAATTTATTTTCTTCTAAATTCTTGTAAGCAATTTATATGTTTACAATCTCAGGTTTTTATCTACACTGTCATGGTTTAGATATTAGTTGTCCCCAAAAAGTTCCTATGTTATTGAAGGAATATTTAGAAGTGAAATGATTCGATGATGATAGCTGTAACCTAATTGGAACATTTTAGTTTGAATGGACTGAGTGTTAACTATAGGCAGGAGATGCATGACTGAAGGAAGTAGGTACTGGAGATGTGCCCCACAAGGATTTGCCTTTGCTGCAGCAGCCCACCCTCCTTCCCTACTCCCCTGCTTTCCCCCTCCCTCCCTACTTCCTTCCTTCCTGGCTGCCATGAATGGGTGAATGGATCAATGGATCAGTGCTCCTCCACCTCCTCCACCATATCCTTCTGCCATGATGTTCTGCTTCACCTTATACCCAGAGTCATGAACTTAGCGGACCATGTACTAAACCTCTTGAACTATGGCCAAAATAAGTTTTTTATCCTCTACATTTTTTCTGTTAGGTATTTGCATCACAAATATGCAAATTTGACTGACATACACATGTACACTTTACTACTTCTATTCTTTTTTTCATTTGTATTTTCTATGTAGTTACAAGAAGACAATGTTGTGCACTGAATTTTGTAAGGTTACTTCTTGAATGAAGTTGGGGAAGGAATTGAATGACTCCTCAGTGTTAAAAGGCAGAGCAGAACAGATTGTCAAATTATGCTCACTGTTTTTAATCGCCAATGCTATATACCTGTGTTCTGCATGTGTTTCTTGTATGATAAATATCATGGGAATATGATTGACACAGCCTACATAGCATATCACCTGAGAGATGGACTTTTAATCTTAATATAAAAGATGGGGGACACCGCACATGTCAAATGATAATTATGAAAGTTGAGTATAGGGTGCATGGGGAGTTTTATTGTTTAATCCATCCCTATATGTTTAAACATTTTTGTAATAATCTTTTTAAAAGAGAAAATGTTGACTGCCTCATAAGGAGAGGGAAAGACCAAAAAGAATGGTTGACAAGGTTGGGACAATCTGTCAAAGCTAGATTTGAGCTCTCAGTAAAGACATTCTGGGAGTGTAATTCCTTTGAGGTTGGGACCTTGGAAGGAAAACATTCTATATAACAGGAAAAAAGGAGGAAAAGAGGAATTGATAGTGAAGTGTTTTTCATGCCAAGATCCCATATGAATGGCTTCAGTTCCTTTGTGATTTATGAGTCCAATACATCTGCTAAGTGGAGATGGCCTCATTTTGAAGAAAGTGCAGAAGGTTTGAAAAAAATGTGAGTAGTATAGAAGAGTGGATAAGGAATCAGTGACCTAAGCTCCATAAGGCTTGTTAACTGAAACTAAGCATAGAATAATAACTTGGGGGAATGAATGAGTGAATTATCTCTATTTAGTGCTAGTGTGTATCATGAATTTAGCGTGGTTCTAGTAGATTTATAAGATTTAAATCCAACAGCAATCAGTCACTTATAGGAAGACATTCCTGGAAAAGGTAGAGAGAAAGGGTTTGGCCAGAGAGTAAGGATTAAATGGGGTTGAATTAGGCCCATTTGGAGCAGTGCTAAATGTAGGTTGCCTGAGAGATCTTGAGGCCTACCTTGAAGAGGGAAGAAATAAATTAGTAGATAAATGAGTAAGTGCAAAAAATAAAGACTGGGAGTTGGAAAGCTGACAAATTGAGGGCCTATAATGGAAGGATAGAGGGTGAGGTCAGAGGGAAGAAAGTCAGGCTATATTACTCCAGTGGCAGAGGTGTTCCTGGACATGGCTGTAAGTGAACTGGAATAGAAGGACCCTAATATGGGTTAAAAGGAACTAAGAGGTAAATTATTGGCAGGTCTCTCCAGATGGATGTTGGTGACTGATTCCTTACCCCTGCAAGTCCCTTGCCCATGGAACCCCTGCCACTTTTTGTTCTTCCCAGAGCCTCTGCAGAGTCTACTGTCTGAAACACTAAGCTTTAGATACTGCAAATCAATGGCATAACTCTGGAGTAAAAGAAGTATGGTAGAATGCAGGGGCTTTGGTACATATATCTTTTTCATTTCTATTTTTACATCCAGTATTCATAAATGTCTCTGGGGAAAAAAAAAAAACAATTCAAGAGTACTCTGAGACAATGAAACCCATTATTTTGTATAATTAAAATGCACTAATTAAAAAAAAAAAGCCTCACACTAAGGGCAAGATCTTGCATGTTGACACCAAGGTTACCCCCTTAGCCCCACCCGAAAAGAGGTATGCCATGTTTGACAACAGCCACACAACCTCATGTACACTCTGCCAGTATGACATCAGTAACCACTGTAGCACCTGATGAGCCTCAGGGAAGTGCTGGCAGGATCACACTGGGAAAGAGTAGTTGTTCACAATGTGGAGGTGATGAAGCATAATCCTTTCTTCCACCAGAAAGGTCATTTTTCCCCTCATTTTTTTGTTTTGTTTTGGTGTTACTTTCTCTCTTTTTAAAAATTTTTTAGTTGATGGTGCTGAGAATTAAATCCAGTGCTTCACACATGCGAGGCAAGCACTCTGCCACTGAACCACAACCCCAGCCTCCTCTTTCTTTAAAGCATCTTTATTCTCAGCTTTATCTTACCTGAGAGGAAGGTAACTGCCTGGTTAAAATTCCTATCAACAACAGCTGGCTAACCTTTTGCTTTGCAAAAATACCAAGTCCAGGCAGCATGAAAAAGTAACCAGCAAGGGGAAACTCTTAAGTGATTTTCCAGTAAGGAACCATTTAAGGAACCACAATGGCAAGTTCAAAGTATGGTTATTTATAAGATATGCCTTATAAAAACTTAAGCAGCACCTACCCTGCTCCTAAACCCTACCCCAATCACCCAGAATCCACTGCAGCAGTACCCCCTAAACATTCTCAAGCAAGTTTCACCCTTCTGTATGAACTCCTGATAACTGACATGTTTGTAAAAAATGACTAAGCCACTCTAGTAACCATTCTCAAAATTGTTCCTGTCCTTCTCTCTCCCTGCCCTCATTGTAATTGGACACAACACCTTTATTTTTATGTGGTGCTGAGGATTAAACCCAGCGCCTAGAGGTGAGTGCTTTACCGCTGAGCCAAAACACCTAGCCCCTTGAGTCTCTCTTTAGATATAGAGACCTATCTTCCTCACTGCAGGGGGAAGGTGTGGGATGCCATATATAATGCCATTAAGGTTAAGCTAAGGGGTAGGAAGCAGTGCCACCTCCTCAGGTTTCAGCAGGAAGAGGAAAGGTGTTTTTTGAAAACATGATATCCCTTCCTTAATGAGAGGTCCAGGAGATTTGGTCACCTTTTTAGAAGTCCAGAGAGGCAATCAATAAAAGCTGAACTACTTTCTCCCCTTCCCTAAACACAAGGAGTAGGTTGCCAAAAAACCAAACCCCCAACACAAGAAAAGACACCATATTGTTAGAAAATTTATTGGGGAAAATCAGTATTCTCAAAAAGGGATAAATTATTTGGGGGGAAGAAAATTTTCTTTCTGAAAATTCTGGAGAAGCATTTTCTGTTTGAACAATAGGGACAACTCTCCCAACGCAGTGCCGTTAGCCAAAGGAGCAGCAGCTGGAGCCACCTGACCAACTCTATATTTGCATGTAGTATTCAGATGGGGCAAGGGTTCCTTATGCAGCATGGATGGGTGATGCTTCTGACATATTTTCCTGTACTGTCACACTTTTCTGGGGCTGTCTGCCCCTGTCCATGACCCATTTATTATTCCCTGTAGGAGACCTCTGACCAGCAAAGCCAACTTCTTGGCTGCAAGATTTGGCACTTGGCACCTTAGCACAGGGAGTATTGACATTGAAGGCATGTTTCTGGATGGGTTCTGCCTGAACCGGCAATCCAGTCTTGTGCTGAATTTTCCCAGGCCTCATGGGGGTGGAAAGAGGCTTTTGCGGGGTGGTGGCCTCTACTCCATGCCGACCTGCTAGTTTCTCCTCTAGGATCTTCCCAATGTCTGTCATGATTTTCTGAGCTTCAGTATTCCCAGTAAAGGCAGCTCTCTTCTTAGCTGGGTTTCTGCCTTGCACAGATGATGAAGAGCTGCCCTTTTTCAGAGACCCTTCTTGTCCTTTGCATGTTATACCAAGATAAAGCCTTTGAAACAAGTGTTTGAGCTGGCTAATAAAATTGTTTTCAGGAGAAGGCTGTCCCTTCAGTGATGGGGCTGAGGAGGACTTGCTCCCAAGTGCCTCCTTTAGTGTTCTGTCTTGAGGGTGGGGGAGTTTCCCTCTAGGTTGGCGTGTCACCAACCCTGCATCCCCTCCACCAAACTTGCCTGTTTGGGGTACCAGAGGGCACACCCTTTTTGATGCTAATGTCTTATCCTGACACTTGCATAAGACATGTGTAGGGATCCAGGGTTCTTGCCCCTGCTCTATGTTGATCCCTCTGTTGTCACAGTGGTCTTGTAGCACCTGGGGAGCTGCCATGTCCCCACTAAAGGCACTATGAAAATGAGTGAAGGAAGTCAAGGTCTTGCAAGTCAAGGTTTTGGGAGCTAAGGTCTTGGAAGCCAGGGTCTTGGAAGTCAACTTATCTGAGGCCAGAGACAACTCAGTAGAAAAGGCTGGAACCAGGCCCCGCTCCCTGCTCTCAGTTTTCATCTTCAACTCATTAAGCAACTGATTTTTAAGATCTAATGATTCGGAATCTTTGAGAACTGATATTCCTTCTGGGGGCCTTTCAATGGTTAGGGTTGATTCAACTTTACTCATATTCATATCTGTCGCTGAGGAGCTTTCTGACTCTGTGGTCGTCAGGCTGTTCGTAGACTGTGATCGAATAGCACAGAGCTCCTTTGCCTTGAATATCTCCCTGGACTTGTTAGACATGGGAAAATATTCTAAATTCTTAATCATTTTTCTCTGAATCTTTTCTTTACTATTGCTGGGACTCACTTCCTTATTCCATGATTTGGGTCTGGCCCCAGCCTGCTTTGTGGGCAACTTTGGGCTGCATTTATTGGCTATTACAGTCTGTTTCTGACTGTCTTTATCTTTGTCACTGTGTGGGAAGGGCAAAGAAGCCCGTCTGTCACCCTCAATTGCCTTGACATTCTCTGTAAGCTCAGGGTTGGTGTGAGAGGGTGAATGTGTTAGGGCCCTCTTATTTTCCTTGCTCACAGGTGAAGTGGCAGAAAGAGGATGATCTAGAGTAGGGCCTGAAATTATTGTTCCCACCTTGTTGACATGAAAAGTACTAATGTTTTCTTTAAGGGGCTTGGAGACCCCAATTTTGGAATCCTTGCCAGAAGTAAGACTGGATGAGGAGGAAATGTTGGAGCGAACTGAGGACCAGGATGGGGTTCCTTTCATTTTGAAGATGTCTATGGATTCCTGGACCTTTTGGGGAAGCCCACACATCATCCTCTTATGAAAGAGTTTAATATGGTCTTCCAAGATCTTTTGTTTGTTGGAACCAAGCAAGGAAATATCCTGGGAGGTATTGAGGCCCTTGTCCTTACACACCAGTGGTACCAAATCTCTGTGTTTCGTTTGGCTAAGGGATTTCTCAGGACTAATCAATACTGGCTCCATAGAATGCAATGATCTATTCACGGTGCCAGGCATCTGACACACATTGATTTCCTCAAATTTCTTGCTCAAATGTATTTCTAGGGCTTCTGTCAGTTGTTTCTGAACTGAGCTCTCCTCTGAGATCTTTGATTTTTTTCCAAAAAGACTATTCAATTTGTTTTTTAGGTTTGTCTTAAAGTCAGAGTCCAGATCATTATCTGGAGCCCCCTCTGAGTCACTCAATGGATCATCTTTTGTGCCAATCTCTAGACTATTTACTTTCTTCATTCTCTCCCCTAGTGGAAGTAATTCTGAGTTCTTCTCATGGAAACTTCTGGGATGGCTCAATTGTAAATCTTTGCTACTTTGACCCTTAAACAAAGAGATCCATGAAAGTCCATAAGTGGACTTTGACTCAGATATCTCGGAAATTTCTGTTTCAGGACTCATCCTTGACAGAGACTCATGGACTCTGCGGGGCAGACCCCACCGGTGTTGAATAAGCCTTTTCTGAAGGTGGTGCTCTAGCTTCTCCCGAAGCTCTTTTTTGAGGGGAAAATCTCCCGGAATGATGGTTGTTGGAGCATAAGCCTTGGAGGACCGTCTATCAGATAAAACACTGGGAGCTGCAGGACAAAACTCTTCCTTGGATTTTTGAACCACAGAGGGTAAACCCCACAAACTTTCCTGTCCTTTCTGTAATACATTATATTCCAAGTCATGAATTTTGGATGGCATGAGAGAGTGTACCTCATCCTGGAATCTATGAATCCTCACTCCACCATCACTAACCTGAGATGAAATGGGTGGTGACAAGGTAGGGACTGAAAATTGAAGCTGGTCCTGGGGTGGGACAGGAGATTGGCACAGTGCTTGGGTCAAGGGTTGAGATTGGATCTCAGGCAAGGACAGAGTTGGGGGAGGGGGTAGAACTAGAGATTCAGGGGCTTCAAAGGAACTAGGCATTGAATTGACGCAGACATAGGTTGAACAGTCACCTGATTCAGGTACTATAGATTTCAAGGGCTCACTATGCAAAGATGGGAGACCCCAGAAGAATTGGGTACATTTTTTAGGTAAGTTATCCTCAAAGGTCTTAGGATCTGAGGACTGGTGGTCTACCTGCAATCCCTCTGATTTGCCTTCACTGCTCTGTGAAGGAAGGGAGACAGGTGAGTCCTGTTGCTCAGCAACTGACTCTAACCTTTTCCCTGAAGAATTCAATTGGTCGTCTGGCTTAAGTTCTTTTGGAAAAGATTTTTTTTCCTTTTTCTTTTTGTTCTGCATCAGGAAATCACCCTTCTTTCTTATATGTCTCTCCAGAAGGGCCAAGACATCAGGGCATAGAAATGAGAGGTTTCCGGGCTCTACAAGGATGGCTGTAGTATCACTCTCAAAAGAGGCCTCAGGAGGATGGAGGTCGAGGAGGTTTTTGTCATCATCAGAGTGCTCCAATTTAGATGGAGACAAGTTTTCAGCATGAGACTGGTTTCCAGAGAACTCTGACACTGGAAGGCTTGCACTGTCAGTGCATGTGGTTGTTGGGACATTAATAGACAACCCATCAGGGCTATCCACCAGAGACAAAGGGGCTTCTGGTTGGAGAACAGGTTTTGCTTCTTGACTGTCAGTTGGTGGGGGAAGGGTTGGAACAGGTGGGGGAGGAGTTGGAACAGATGGTTGAGGTGGGATATGATCCACTGGCAATTTTGAACTCAAGGGAGAAGGCTCTGGTGGCAGAGAGTCACCCAGTAATGAGGGTCCAGGTAGGTCCATTAAAGGGGTAATTTGGTCAGGTGAACGAATAGAGGAAGGAAATAGAGTTGGCTCAGTTAAAGGAGTTGAAACTGAAGCTCCCGGAGGGATTGCAGAGACAACATCGGACAGAAAAACTGATGACTCTCTCACAGACGTCACGGAAGACACACGGGACACAGAATTAAGAGCATCTTCCAAGGACGCCTTACAGATCAGTTGACTGACCTTAGCTGCTGTTCTATTACACACCCTACAGAGCGGGTCTGGACATAATAGTTGCCGAAAGCGGAGGAAATCATTATTCTGGCTCATGGGACTGTAAGAGAAAGAAAGCCAAAGCTGTAACCAGAACCACTACAAGGGAAGCAAGATCTGCAGTTCTATGGGTGGTGGGGAGCCCGCTGCCTGCTCTACATTCCACACATCTATGACCTCACAATACCCTCCCCTCCCAAGTTCTTTATTCACGTACCCATGGCTATGGCTATCCCTCCTGTGATTAGGGCATGTTGCGAAGAATTCCTGGGGGACTGAATAAAGCATGCTAGGAAAGGAATCAGTAAAGGGAAATGACTAATCACCTTTTCAGAATAGAAGGCAGCTTCCTCCCCTCCTCTACTTCTCTCCGGCAAGTTCTCCGACCTGGAAAACCAGGACAGTTGGTTATATATAGTAAAGGTAAAAACACAGGTTATCATTCAGGAGTTTTTACAGGAAACAGGATATTAATGTCAGAAAGCCCTAAAAATCTGCAGATAAGGTCATAAGTGTCAGGGATAATAGTAAGAAGGTTCACAGGTATATGTGGTTCCATTTAGAAAGTACTTTCACCTGTACCATCCTACATGCTGCTCAAAACCACCACCTGAAGCACAAGGATCAGTAGCTAACTCAGGATGAATCTAATCAGCCAAGAATTAAAGTAGTTTACACCATGTCACCAGACAGAAATTCTGACTCCAAGGCAATCAGGGGTCTTTGGACATCTCACAGGGCCACCTACTCGGCAGTAAATGTCCAAGGCCCAGGTCCATCACTACTTCATTCACACCCAAGGAAGGGTGGGCAGGGCAGGGACTCTGAGGAATCTCTCAGGTCTCACTGCCTTCTCCTGAGCCTCTCCTCTGAGACCCTGTTTCCTGAGAGAGACTGCACCTAGAAACTGACATCCTCCAAGATCATGGAGCTGTAGGGAGATAGGAAAGTTCACCCTTATAGAGCTCAGGTTGAACAGGCAGAACCTTACCTTTAGATACTCCATTTCTCCTTCTCTTTGTTCCCTGACGCTGAAAACAAAAAGAAAAGAATGAGGGGCTGGGGCTCATTTCTTTTACTCCTTTTGTTAACAAGCTTAGACATTCATTAGGCAAGAATTGGACAACTCTTCATTTTTAATTAGTAGAAATTGTATTCCTTCCTTTTATTAATCTTGAAGGGCAATGAAATATTTTCAATTTTTTACTTCTTTGATAATTTCAAAGGACATTTTTGTCTGAGATTCCACATTTGATGGTCTTAAACCCTCTGCGGAAGGAGGGCATAGAATCTGAGGCCAACAGTCATGTCTGGGCTCCCCCAGGGAACCCTGTGTCCTGGGGCAGAGCTCAGGCTACAGGCTCTACTCCGAGGTCAGCACTGCTGTCCTGATCAGCCCAATATGAAGGCTGGGTGAAGCACATCTGACATGGGAATGAGACTCAGAATCTAGTCAGAAGAGACCCGTCTCCTTCAGAGAAGCCACACTCTCTATCCAAACCAATCTAGAACCCTCCATCACACCCCAAAAGATAGTCTGTGAGCTTCAGATGGAAACCTTAGTCCTTCCTGAACCTCTGACTTCTTTCCCTAAAGAGTGAAGTTCTATCTTGTCCTCAGACTTCTCAAGTCACATCTTCTTTGAGCCAACCAAACATTTAGTAATGTGAGAATGGAAATAACAAATCACATTTGACATTTCACAAAACATTTCACATTTGACAAAAATCAAGAAACTCCCTTGGGAGTTCACTCTGCTTCCTTACCTTCTTCTGGATGGCTTTATTTTTCTCGAGTGTTGGTGAAAATCGTTTCAATACCTGAAAGGACAGGTATAGAAAAAGCAACACCAACCCACTCAAAATGGGATCAATATCCCAAAGAATTGAACCAAGATCAACCATGGTTCAGTATGGCTATTCAGCAAAGAGAGAACATTCTTTTTTTTTTTTTGAACATTCTTCATCCTCTGAATTGGTCCTTTGCCTAAGGCAAATGAGTTCTGAGGGTGCCTGGGCTTCTCTATATCTCCAGGCTTGCATCACACACCATTGAAGAGTCACAAAGGGAAAGGATTCTGAGGGCGGGGAGAGAAGACTTGAGGAGGTTGTGCCCCTCCTCCACCTGCCCACCAACCAGCAGATCCCTCTGCTCAGGTCTGTTGTTCCATTTCCCACTCGACTCTTTCCTCATATCATGCCTTCATTATCTCAGGGAGCATTCCTGTTTGTTTCATGTGTAAAAGATGTTTTACATGAGTCCCTTTTTACTGTTTGGATCCCTTGACTTACACCCCACCAATTCCACTGCCTTGAAAATCTGACATACACTGCCTGGAATTTTTGCTTGTACCAAGACATTTACACTCTTGGGTCACCTACATCCTTAAATCTATCTTATCTACAGAAAGCTTTTGCTTTACTCTAACTCACATGTAAAACTTAACGTTCTTTCATACTTATGTAGTTTTATAAGTTTCAATAGCAAATTTTTGTTTCAATCAGCCTGTAGTGTCTTCAATCACAGTGGCTCACTCTCATTAAAACTAATAGTTTGTTAGTCAACACTGTGAAACAAAAATAAACATAAAAAAATCTAAATAAAATTGAAACTTCAAGTGATCTTGGAAATAAGTTTATAACGCTTGTTTTTTTCTGAAGTAGTGAAGATTAAACATAACAAAGACTATTGGATGTGCTCTATTTCCCGCCCCCTGACAAATTGATCCAGTGTTTTCAAATCTGATAATCAACCATCTTCTCATTTTTTTTCAATTCTTCATTCATTATTTTGATCTAACTTGCTTCTAGCTACCTGAAATTCAAATATTCCCTGCCTCCATATCAATTTCATAATGCTTATATGACTTTCTCAAACCAGGAAGAGGTTATGGTGTGCTAAGGAATTGAACCCTCAGTCCTTGGTGGCAGGGAGCCACCTAAAATGTCAGAACCTTAGGGCAGATTAGTCTTGAAAAGCATTACCCTTGTGGGACACATAATTTTGATATTTTCCTAAGAAAATAAGAGTGTCTTGCCATGAAAAAAGCTATTAAGATCTGTGCTATATAAGCACCCTACTACTAATGGAAAATCAACTGCCTATCATACATGATTCAAGCAAAACTTTTGATATTTAAATAGCCCCAATATTGCCCCAGCCTTCTTCTTACACCTGCTTTTTAAAACCCTTTATCGTCATGACAGCTATCCTCCTAACTGTCCCCTAACTTGTCATGTCTTTTTTAAACCCTGAAACCTCTTATCTGATGCCCATAACCCAGCAGTATTATTGATCTCTTTGACAGGATAAGGCAGCCTCCAAGCCAAGCAGTCTCTATTCAGTTAGGCAGGGGCAGGTACCCTGCCTTGAAGATCCCCCATCCTTTTGATATGCAGCCTCAGTCAGGTTTCCATTTAACAAATATTTACTAGTGAAGACTAGGAGACATGGACAGCTATAAGTCACAGGCTCTGCCCTTATCCTTAAGGAGCTCATGTTGAGACTGTAGAGATAAGTCCTACACAGTTGGAAAGCTGTACAAAGGCAGAAGAAAGGTCCAGAACCCCTTAGCATTTGTTAATTCCCAAGAGATTTGTGGAGTAGATCAGAGACTGTGGGTGTTAA